CTATCTCACTATAATTTGATACATCACAGTTAATTGTAGTAAAACATAGTCATATTATAAAAGAAAAAATTTTATTCCTATAATATTATACATATACTTTTACTTAATAACATACTTTAATAATTTTATCATGCATCCTGGTTAAAATTAAAATGCATGAATATTTAATATATATATTATCCTTTAATAAATGTAACTAGTTTTTTTATTTATTTAATATATTATTGATAAAAAAAAAAAAATTCGGAAAATTTAAGAAATTGAAATATATCCTAATTAAAAAAATATTTTAAATGAATGAGAAAAACTTAAAATAAGAGATAAAAAAAAATAATTATTTCCTTAAATTTCCTAAATCCCTTTTTTTTTATATAATTTAAGAGAAATTATATTTTTAATACAATACAATTTGTTTACACTTAATTTATTGGAAATATAATTTATACAATTATTAGAGTTTTTTTAACGATGAAATGTTTAATTATTGGATAAATTTTTAAATAAACATGTAAATTAATATTTTAATAATTACATTAAAAAGGTACAATAACAAAGTAAATAATAATATGATTAATACGTTGAATTATGTATAATTATATTCTATAAATAGAAATTATTAATATATTAAACTCAAAAAAAATACATTTTTATTTTATATAAATTATCAATATAGTACTTAGATTATATGTTAATTACTTTAAATTTTGGTTAAAAATATTTTTCCTTTTTCATAATATATTATAAAAATCAATACTTTAATTTAATCTTCTGAAAAGACATTTATATGAATTTCTTAAAAAGAGATAAATATATTAATGATAATGAGTAAATTTAAATACACATATATAATAAAGTATGGATAGTTAAACATAATTACAAGTAAGCACATATGTATATTCGTATATAAATTAATTAGAACAAAAAAAATTATACGAAAAATTATCTATACAACTGATTATCATTAATTTTTATCATAGCAAAATGTTTTAATAATTAGTAAATATTTATTTTTAAATTTATTGTAATTAGTAAACAACTATATTCGGAATGTTTTATTTACTGCCATATTTAATATATAAATTGTTTCACATAAATATTTTCTTCAATCAAATAATGGTTGTTATGTATTAATTTAATCGTATGCACCATTTTCCATAATTAATTTTTTTTTTATAATTGCTAAAAATTATAAATTCATATGTAATTTCACTTTTATTTAAATCTTAGATGGAATATCTTCAAGAAACTCTATAGAAGGTAATCCAAAATTCTCTTTAATGTATATAACTATTTTTTTTTTCGGTGCATTAAATTATAAAATTTGTTCCATAATTAATTTTTTTTTTTTATAATTGCGAAAAGTTAAAAATTCATATGTAATTTCACTTTTATTTAAATCTTAGATGGAATATTTTTAAGGAACTTTATAGAAGGTAATCCAAAATTATCTTTAATTTATATAACTACTTTTTTTTTTTTTTGGTGCATTAAATTATAAAATTATGAGTTCAAGAAAATTTCATAGTGATTTATCTATAATTTTTTTTTTAATTAGTAAACAAAGTAATCAATTTCATGCCCATGATGTAGATTCCTTATATTAATGAACGATAATATTATTATCTTATACTATTTTCAATTTTTTTTTTCTTTATATTTTCCTTATTATAATTTAATTTTTTTCCAATGAAGTTATTATTTACATACAATTATATGAAAAGGTTGCATGTATACATATCGATTATTCTAATTTCTATTTAAACTTATATCATAATGTATTACTACGAAAATATTATAATAATTATAATAAATTAATCAGCAATATAAATTAAAAAGGTAAATCATCACAAAAAGAAAAGGTTATGCTATTGTAATGATTTCATCATCTAATAGACTAATTCAAAAGCTGCAATGTATGTCCCTTAGTATAATAATTTAATATATTTACTTTTTATAGTAATTATAAGTGCGTGCATAATTAAAAACATGCGTAGATTCATTTTTGTCTCAATATCCTCATCATAATTTTAATTGATTTATTAAATTTTTTAATATTATATTTGTTCATTATAATTTTTTATTGTAGTATTACAATTAACTCATAAAAAAATAAATATATTTATCAGAAAAAATATTACTTTTATTTTATTACAAAAAATTAATTATTTACCATTGCACCATTGCACAATTATATAATTACAATTTAAACGTACATTGATTATTTAAAAAATGTAAACATGAAAAAATTAAGAAATTCATAAACATCAATGTATATTATAGATATAGAAAATATCAATTAAATATTTTAATTTAAAAATACACATTAATTCATTTACCATGAATCAATTTTATATATATATGTTACAACTTTATCATTTTCTTCATTTTCATCCATTATATGAAAACTTAATATGTGTTATTCTAGCAAAAAGTATGAAAAACATAACATTTTTTTTATGTAAAAATAATTATAATTATTCATATATATATAATAATTATCCTTTATACGTGAGCTATAATTCTTATGAATAGTACACGTGTATCGCTATTATATATCTATATTATCATGAATATATATTTATTAATATTGTAATCGTAAACAAAGGAATAAATAATATTTTTTTCTTTTTTTTCAAAAATGTTTCTCATTGAGAAAAATTAAAACTATTTTTATGTTTCATGTATTGTCATTATAATAATTTAAACTTGATTTACAAAAGGAAAATCTTTTACTTATTCAAATTAATTAAAACTCCATATAACTTCTCAAATTAGATTAATATCCTTCCTATTTTTGTTTTATTTTACGCTAATTATAAGAACTATTTTCATATGTTACATTAAAAAAACGCATAATATAAAATAAATTTAAACTATTATTTTTACTTATTCTTAAGAATAAAAAAAAATATATGAACTTTAAAAATTAATATGTACTTATATCTCATCATTTATAGTGTATTGAAGATTCGATCAAATTGAAATTAAAAAAATTAATTTATTCCATTGAAATTTTTATAAATAATTTACATAAATATCTTAAAATACAAAACTATTTTAAAAATTCATATTTGGAAGATATATTTGTTATGTTTCCTATTAATTTATAATTTATTTATGTAAAAGATATAGTAGAAAAAAAATTATTTAAAAATAAAAATAAAATGAAATCTTAACATATAAAAATAAGATAAAAAGGATGAGTGACTAATATAATTATAATATTTAGTAATTATTAAATATAAAGTATTATACTAAAAATTAATAAATATTCATGTATTTTATTAAAAGCTTGTAGTGTTATTTACTAGAATATATATTACTTTGAAAATTCTATTTCATTTTTTTTCTTTTATTATTATTTCCTACTTCCGAATAAAATATATATCTGATAATTTTTGAATAAAAAATCTAATTATTTATCTGCTTAAAAAACATATTTGAGGTTAACATATATAATTACAAATTTGTTAAATTTATAAATATCTTTAATAATATGTATCATAAAAAAGAATATTATTAAAATAAATTTTTTTTAAAATATTATTTTAATAAATTAATATTATTGATTAATTTTAGAATTAACATCATTTACCAAAGAAAAAATAAATTTTTTCTTTTTGAAGTGAAATTTTTATTATATAAGTTTATCTAATTAAAAAAAGAAAGAAATTATAATTTTTCCATCTTTTATTACTGGAAGTTAATTTATTTTTTTAGTAATTTTAACATTATATGTCTTCAATTTTTTTAAAATAACTCTCTGTTTTCACTTTTATATTTGAAACTAGTCAAGTAATGCACTTCCAAATATTTTCTTTACATAGAATATTTGATTTTAATTTTTTCTGGTTCATCTATAAGAAGGTTTCCTTTAAAAATAATGATACTTAATATAAGGAACAAACCATGTATATATATAATATAATTAAAACATTATGATATTTAATTAGAGAAAATGAAATTAAAATACTTGTATAATAAAAAGATAAATAATAGAAAAATTAAAATATTAATTAGTAAATGTATTGTAAGAAATGATATTTTCAAATAAAAATTAATTTATATTTAATATATCAAAAAATATCTCGAAATATATTGTATATTAACAAGAAAAATGCATGCATTTAAGCTTTACTAATTGTTTCATAGAATATTTGTTTTCTTAAAGGAAACTAAATCTCTCTAATGTATCTATTTATATAAATATAAACTGATAGTTTATCAACACAAATGAGTTCAAGATAATTTAAGTATAATTAATTGCATGTTTCCAAAAATTATAAATAACAGGAAAAAAATGTTTCTTAATCTTAAAAATAACTTATTTTTAGTATATGTATTTAAAAAAAAAAAAAGAGAAAAAAAAAAAAAAAAAAAAATGAAATACAATAATAATATTTATATTTTTATAATATTGTTTTATAGATATTAAGTTTATCAAATACAAAAAAAAATAAAATAAAACGCAATTCTTAAAACTATTGAAAAACATCAATTTATGTAAAAATTTATGAAGTTCCTCAATTATTATTCTAATATTTACATTTTTCCTTTTAAAAGAAACAATTAAAAAAAATTTGTAATACACAATATCTATAATTTTTAATTATAATAACTCAACTAAAAATATAATATATAACATTTACTACAAATTTTAATATTAATAAAAATTGTTAATTTATTTTTAAAATAATTTTGTTTTTCAGTTTTATAATATTTTTTTTTTTATGTATTATCCTTATAGTTTTATTTTTTTAAGTATTAATATCACCTATGTAGTTTAAAGATAAACATAGTATTATACATAATAATAAAAAATTAAGGATCATTTCTTATGTAACAAAATCATTTTTCATTTTAAAAACATAAAAATTTATTACTGATTATAAAAATATCTCAAGAATTATTGTAAATTTCTAGAGTATATTGGATGAAAATAACATTTTTTCACCTGTATTAATTTATATTCTCTATTATTACACTATAAAAGTATAAAAATGAATACATTTCCTTTTTGTTTGAAGGTTGCTACCTTTTCCTTTCTTATTTGGATATTTCAATACTTTTTGAACGTAAGATATTATTTATGCACCATATGTATATATTGACTTATTTTTTTTAATTATTTAATTTAATACTCTAACAAAAAAGAAAAATTCCTTTAAACAATTTTTATTTTGTACGACAGCATAATTTCAGCAAATCTTCTTATAATAAAAATATACCAGCGACAAAATTTGCATCAAAATTCAAAAGAACACTAGCAGAGGTTAGAAAATCACAAAAAACAGGATTTTCACTTGATGATATTAAATTTGTAGATGAAGATTGTGAAGAAGAAAGAACAAGTATAACAGAAGAAAAAAAAAAAAAAAAATATCCAAAAAGAGAAAAATTTCCACAAAAAAAAAAAATTTCAAAAAAAAAAACTGCAGTTAAATCAGGTGATCACAAAGAAAAATCAGATTACAGCAGTGATGAAGAAAGAGAAGATGAATCAGACGAATCATTTAGCTTCTCTCCAGAGTTATCCATGGAATGGAATGATGAGAATATACTTATGTTGGATAAATTTCCTAATCAAATAAAAGGAATGAACACTAATAGGGGAGCTCGCGAAACGGTTGATGAAGATTATAAAAAGGATTTGGATATTTTTGAACCAAGTTGTCCTTATAAAGATAAAGGAAGAATATCTGATGAATCTTTAAAAGATGTTACAACAAAATTTGATGAAATTTTGCTTTCTTCCAAAGAAAAATTTGATAATCATGCAAATGTTGAATCTGAAAAGACAAAAACTCGAGAACAAGCATTAAGAGGGGCTGAAAAATCCGATGAAAAGCATAAAGAACAAGAAATAAAGGATAAACAGAAACATGCACAGTTATCATCAGATACTAAAGAGGAAGATGAAAAAAGAAAAAAAAAATCCAATGTACAATTAGGTAAGAGATGGAATGAAGCTATATGTTCAATGTGGAAAGGATTCAAAAATAAAACAAATAAAAAGGATGATGAATAGAAAAATGATAAGTGGAATAAATGGCACAACAATGTTGTAGATAAAAAGATTGAATTGCAGTTGACTTTTATTGAAGAAAACCTTCCTTTTGATCAAAGAGAAGCATTATTTTAAAGTTAGATACATAATACCTTATGTAAGTTTAATTTACTTTTGACAAAATGTAATGAAAAATGAAACAAAATAACAAATAAATCAGACGATGAAAAAGATGTAAAAACTGCATGAGATAAAGAATATGATCAAACACAGTAAATACCAAAAAAGTTAGAAAGATATAATATATATTCAAATGTCTATATAAAAAAAGTAAATACAAAAATATCTAATGTAATATGAAGAAAAGAAATAGACAAAGAAGTGAAATACAAAAACAAATATATTCTGTGTTTTACTTTTCCTTGAATATTCTATTAGATATAGCAAAAAAAGAAAAACAGAGAATAATAAAAATGTGAATGTATGTATAATGTAAAAATAAAGAGAAACTATATTGATACAAGAAATTTATATAAATTTACCTTAACAGAATATTTTATTTTTGTATGCTTATTTACTCCATAGGAAAAAATTATATGATATTTTGTGTACTTTAATGCATAATTTTAGTTAGTTTGCTTTGCTTTTATTTAAATTAATATTCTTTTCTTATTTGTCAAAATTTTTTTTCAAGTAATTTTTATTATTATTATAGCTTATAAATAATATAAATAAGAATGAAACATGCCTTGCTGTTCTTCAATAAAAATTGTATTCCTTTTGTTTTGTATACATTTGAGTATATACATGGTATTTCTTGTGTTTTATCTCTGTGATATTATGTATGTATTTGTTCTTGTAATTTTTTAAAAATTATAATTCAAAAAATATTAATGCATGGATGAATTCGTAATTATAAGTTAAATATAAACTTAATTTTTACTTCAACATTAGTATTAAATTTATTTTTTTTCTTAATTAAAGATAATTATGAAAGCATAAAAAAAAAACGTTATAGTAAAATGTTTTTTTCACAAGCTTATTTTAAACTAAGAATTATATTAAAAACATTAGATCATATATATATTGTCAGAAAATATTATTAATCTTTTATGAAATAATATCTGGTAAATTATAAGAAAAATAACGTTTTAGCTATGAATGCTCTTTGTTTAAGAATATAATTAACTACACAATTATGAAAAAACATTTTTTTTTTTTTTATTATATGAGATTTTAATTGTTTTGAGATTTAAATTTTAATTGAAATTTTGAAATAAACAAAAACCTAATTCGAAATTTAAAAGGAAAACAAAGATGTTACTTTTATGAATATTTTATATGTATTTTTAAAGAGACTTTCAATAACTCTAAGGAAACTTACTATTTTATTTAAAAAAATATTATTTTACATTTATTCAATAGTTTTTGGCGAAAATTTAAGTTTTTAATAAAAATATAGATAAATCCTTTAAAAGTAAATAAACATTTCTAAGATAGTAATGTTATGTAGCTATAAGGTTTACCTACTTTAGCATCTATATATTTTTTCTACAGTTTTTCGTTAATTGTACGTTTAAATAATTGGCTAATAAAAAGTATTATTAGCCTTTTTGAGAATAAAAAGTAATAGATGTATGGAAAATTAATAGATAGCCATGCAAGCGTTAGATAAAAAAAAATTAGTTGTTAATTTTTTTTTTCTTTTTGAAGATTTAAAATATATAAAAAAAAATATTTATTTTTTTTAAAATAATTTAATGGTCGAAAAATAGAATAAATATTTGTTAACTAAGAGGCTTCTTGTAACACATTTTTGTTTATTTTTATACAAGAATATTTTATATTAACAACAATAAAATTTTGTTGTTTTTCAGTATTTATATATTTATTTTTTGTTTTGTTAATTATTTATGTTTGTTTATTTGAGAGCAATGGATTTAAGTTACCAAACATTAATTATAACATTATAAGTAAAATGCAACTAATTAAAAATTAATAATCAACAAGAATTTAAATTTTTTATAAAAATATGTATATTTATTAAAATAAATAAATGACTCTTAAAATCAATAAGTCTTCAATGAAGCAGACTACATAAATACAGTTTACTTATTTATAGCTTTAAAATTATACTTAAATTCATTGAATTAATATAGACAATATTGCATTCTCTTTATTGATATGTTTGTTCAATACCTTAAGAAGGTCATTGAAAAAGACAATAAATCAATATTATAGTATTTTAAACAGTCAAATTAATAAATAATATGTAAAGGAACCTCAACTTGTCTTATTTACCAAAATATTAATTATTATAAATAATTCCCTATGAATTATGCAAAACTTGATAAAAATTTATTTTGTATTAAAATAAACTTTTAATGTATATATTCTTTATTAATTTATTGTTCAACATAAATTTATTCTTTATTCTTCATTTAATATCTATATCCGTATTAAATTATTTCTCTTTCCCAAAAAAAATGAAACAACAAAAAAAGAATATTATATATTTTTAGTATGCATACTAAAGTATATATTGTAATATATACATTCTTTATTCACATTTTGAGATACATACATCTTATTGTATGTATTTTAATGTACCTATTTACCTAATGTATTTCACATATTGATTTGTTGATTGCCCATGCAGTGACTTTGACGATACTGAACTAACAATTAATAAAGAGCATGTAGATAAAACTTTACTTAGTTTATTTTTATTAAATTAAAATATAAAATAAACTATTCACTTTTATTAATAATATCATATATTAATTGATTCATTTAATTGCTATTGTTGTTAATATATACAATATCCCATGTGTATCACATTTTATATTTAACTTTAAATCTTTCATAAAAAAAATATACTGGACATCATCCTCAAAAAAAAAAAATCTTTTTTTTTTAAGGCATATTTTTTTTTGAAAAAACAAAATAATAAAAAAAAAATCATTATCAGGTAAAAATTATTAATATTTTTTTTTTAAGTATCACAAAAAAAAAATGTTATAAAGAAAATATACTTACCTTTTTTTTTTAGTGTACTCACATCTAGAAAAAGTATATTATTTTTTTTGTATTTATTTTTAGTGCAAATATATTTTTTTTTTTTGGCGTACATACTTTTTGTGTACTTAATTTTTTTTCTTAGTGTTCTTGCTTATGTTTGCACATTTTCCCAGTATTTTAGCATGCATCAATAAAAATGTTTTTATTCATTTTATTTAATTTAATATTATTTAAAAAAATTGGATAATGCTATATATAGACCACATGCCTAACTAAAACTTCAACTACATTCTTTTTTTTCTTGTTAAAAATGTAAGTAGATAAATAATATCATTTATTGGAAATATACTATCTAGGAAAAATTAAATGCATTACTTTATTTTTTGACTGGTTAATGAAGACATTATTAATCTTTTTAAGAGTAAAGATTAATAGTTATACAAAAAATGTACAGTTAAATATGCCAGCATTAGAAGGATAAAAAAAAAATAAACAATTGTTGGCGAGAACAGTTTCTTTGAGAATGAAATTTATTTCATAGATTTAAAGAAAATTTTGTACTTATAATAATATAATTTTTTTGTTTATAATAATTATACAATTTTAATTTGTATTTTAATAATTATTTATTTTATTTAACTTAAATGAACTTGAACTTCTAAAATTATTTATAACATTATAAATAAAAATATATTAAATTAAAAAAATTGGCAAATGAGAGTTTATATTTTTAATAAAAATCCTTTTTTTTATTGAAGTAAGTAAATACATTTTAATAAAAATAAATCTTCAATGAAGTTGACTACATAAGAATAGTTTAATGATTTGTAGCATTAAAATTATATCTAAATTTATTAAACTAGTAAAAGAAACTCTGAGTTCTTTATTAATATATTTGTTCAATACTTGGTTAATAAAAGATATTATTAACCTTTTTGAGAAAAAAAAAAATAAATGTATAGAAAATAAATAGCCACGTAAGCATTAGATAAAAAAAAATTATTTGTTAATTTTTTTTTGTTTTATTCATGTAAATTTTAAATACATAAAATATTATATTCATTTTTTTTTTTTTTTTGAAAATAATTTAATAACAGAAAATTAAGAAATATGGCTGTTGAATAAAAATTTTTCGGTAGAAATTTTGTTTAAATTTATATATGAAAATTTTATATTAACAATAATAAAATTTTTGTATTTTGTAATATTTATATAATTTATTTTGTATTTTGCTAATTTGAGAACAATGGATTTTAATTTCTAAACATTACTCATAACATTATAAATAAAATATATGTAATTAAAATTAATAATAAATATAGATTTAAATTTTTAATAAAAATAGGGATTTTTATTAAGAACGTAAATTCTTCTTAAAAATAATAAATGCTCAACGAAATAGAAAATATAAATACATTTTACTTCTTTATAGCATTAAAACTAAGTTTAAATTCATTAAATTAATAGAAAAAGCTCTATATGCTCTTTATTAACATATTTGTTCAATACTCTAGGAATGTCATGGGATAAACAATAAATTGATAAATCACTACTGACCAAAATAGTTAACTAAGAAAAAAAAAAATTTATTTTTTTTTGCTTCATCATATATTTTTCTGACTGTATTTTGCTCATTGAGGAATCAAATTTTAAATCTTACAAAAATTAAATTAGGAGTATAAACGAAAAAAAAAAGAAAATTTTGTTTTTATTAGTATTTATTCTTTATGTACCTTTGACAGACTGTTAATATCCTTATCTTTAATTTTTTAGTTTTTTAAAGAGATTCTTTTACATATAATCAATAATTGTAATAAAGATTTAAGTTTTTAATGAAAATAATAATAAATTTTTATTAAATGAGTAAATACTTCCAAAACAGTAAATTCTCATTTGTTGATTTATTAATAGTCTGTTCTTTAACTTGACCAAAATATTGAACAAACTAACAAAGAGCATATATAGTTGACTCTACTAATTTATTGAATTTATGTATAATT